GAGTCCGCATGGGGAGGTGGGTGACACATACACATTTTTGAAAAATAGCACAACATCAAGTAGCAGATAAAGGCCTAGAAAGTGCATATCAAATACTAAGGGAGTGTCAAGGATTGAGATATCTTTCTGCTGACCCTCTGCCCCACGCATCCTGTGTTCAGAGCTTCTGTCCTCAGGCAGCTCCCAATCTGAAGGAAGAAGCAGAACCCATGTATGAGAGGAAAAATACTTCTTATGAGTCTCTGTGGAAGAGAGTGAGAGTGAGGATGATGTTAAGTGTATTGAGAGTCATGGGATGAGGAGGGAGTGGTTAACACCAGTGGGCACATGATGGCAAGGTGTGCAGACACACTCCGTGACTGGTCAGATATGTGAACATGCTGCTCCATGAAGTACAGCGCACAGGAAGATGGGCAGTGTGAGTGGGCTCTTTTCAAATTCATCACGTGTTGAGACTCTCTCATATTTTCTCCATCTTGAACAACCATCACCACTACTACCACCACCCCAGGAGGGCTCACTGGGGAAGCCTTCCTGGAAGAGGAGGTGGAAATAAAAAAGCCAGGCTTGGTAGAGAAGGGGAAGGGCATGCTAAAGTGGGAAGATGTTCTCAGCAGGGGATGAGGGGTGCAGACGGTCTAATCGGGCAGGGGTTGCCTGGAGCAGATATTCTTTAGGGCAAGGGAAAAGAAGGTAAGAATATGGAGAGATGAAGCGTGGGTGGGGAAAGTCTTAGAAGTCTCAGCTCCTGAAGCAGCCTCCTTTTTCCGGGGAGATATGGTCATGGAAACAGACTTGGAATAGCTTTTGCTCTCCCAGGAGCTTGACCTCTAGTAGGGCAAATGGGAGAGTGTGGCTCCCAAGATAATGAACCCTCAGCTCTTTGGCTATTGACACATTGCAGGAATAATTCACATCTCCTTCTCTTCCTTTTTAGGATGTCTGGAGAGTGTCAGAGTGCTGTGTGCATTTGTAAGTAGCCCATTCAGAAACCTTCTCACTGGGTTGTAAATAGCGAAACTAGAAACATCCTCACTGACTGACCTTCAGGCAAGAGGGCCTGAGCCATCCAACGAGGCCAGGCCACCTGACAGCATCTAGGGTCTCAGGCCATGGCCACACACTCTGCCCCTAGTGTAAGCTGGCAACCTCTCAGGCCAAAGCCAAAACACTTGTGGTCTTGGTGAGTGCCCTAGGTTGCAGAACCAGAAATTTCTGCTGACACTTCTGGTTCCTGTTCTTGGGAAGGGGCACCAGGGGTCCAGGCTCACTCTCACTGTTTGCAAACTAAGGCCTTAGAGAAGGTGAGCCTCCTTCTCTATGTCACACAGCAGAGCAGGCTAGGGACGTGATACAGACCTGTGTCTTTCTTCTGAATTGAGTGCCTGTTCTCCTGTAGCGGTTGTCAGCAATGTCACCAGCACAAGCAGCAGCTCCAGTGGTGGCCGTGGAGACTTCAGAGGGGTCAGTGGCAGCAGCACCAGTGGCTACAGAGCTGGCAGCGGCAGCAGCAGCAGAGGCAGCAGTGGCTACTCAGGGTTCAGCAGTGGCGGCAGCAGCAGGGGCTACCAGAGTGGCAGCAATGGGGGCAGGGGTGGCAGTGGAGACTACCAGAGTGGCAGCAGTGGGGGCAGGGGCAGCAGTGGGGACTACCAGAGCGGCAGCAGTGGGGGCAGGAGCAGCAGCGGGGGCTACCAGAGTGGCAGCAGGGGGGGCAGGGGCAGCAGTGGGGACTACCAGAGCGGCAGCAGTGGGGGCTACCAGAGTGGCAGCAGGGGGGGCAGGGGCAGCAGTGGGGACTACCAGAGCGGCAGCAGTGGGGGCTACCAGAGTGGCAGCAGGGGGGGCAGGGGCAGCAGTGGGGACTACCAGAGCGGCAGCAGTGGGGGCTACCAGAGTGGCAACAGGCTTGGCAGTGGAGGCAGCAGCCCTGTGAGCCAGAGTGGACTAGGCTCCAGCTCTGGCGGCATCCAGACCTCTGGAGGAAGTAGCTATAAGTCTGGCAGTGGAGGCAGCACCAGTGTCCGCTTCTCCCAGACCACCAGCTCCAGCCAGCACTGCTCCAAGTGATCCTCCTGGCTGAATCTCCATGCCTACCTGCTTCTCTTGCAGTCTGTAAAGCACTTCCCACTCTGCTTGGCATCAACAGTTGCATATGGCTCAACTGCTTTTCCCCAAGTTCCCTGGAGAAGGGGCTGAACTCTTGGATCCTCCAATGCCATGTCCTCTCCTAGGCCAGAGAGGTGCAGCTACTAGTTTGGGATGATGGTGCCCCTGGAAGAGCCCCTGCGATAGCCCCTGACTTAGGACAGTGACACCTAGTCCCACCTTCCAGTGGGAAGCCAGTCCGGGCCTTGCCCTCTCTCACTAGGAGTTGAAGCCAGTGCGTCTCAGTACTGCCTGAGGAAGGCAGTGCAATGGGGTCAGTGCTGGAGGGTGGAAGGACAAGAAATCCAGGCTGTCAGTTCCCAGGGATCCCTCCCCATATCTGGGCATCATATTCTAACTCACCTCTGTCTCCTTAATTCCTTGAGCTGTAGATCCTCTGGTAATGAGCATGTCACTTTCTTTTCTCAATAAATTGCATTCTATTTCAAATTCTGATGTTTGGATTTCATTCAAAGAGTCACAGAATAAACCAAGGTTCAAGAGTGGAGGGAAATCAGGTGTGGGGTTGATCTTCCAGAAGTTCAGTAGTGGGTATAAAGGACACTGAATAGTCTTGGCTTCTTCTTTATCCTTTTGGTTAGGTTCTTGTGACAGATCTGCCCAAGAGTATTTATTTTGTTTAAATGGAGACTTTCCCTACTCCTAAGGAAGTCATCCCATGCATCCTCCAGCCTCTGAGCAGGTCTTTGTGATCCAGTCTTGGAAAAAGAGGGTTGTGCACTTCATCAAGGGAACACGTTCCACTGGAACTTCAGATCTTTTGCTCCACGCTACCCTAGCCAGAAACGCAGAAAATTCTTTCTGCAAACACAGCTCCTGGGGTCGGAAAGGGGTCAATACATAACACCCCCTTTTCCATGCCCAGGTTCTGAGACAATTAAAAAATAAGACAAAAGAATTGCTACCCTAGCCAGAAACGCAGAAAATTCTTTCTGCAAACACAGCTCCTGGGGTCGGAAAGGGGTCAGTACATAACACCCCCTTTTCCATGCCCAGGTTCTGAGACAATTAAAAAATAAGACAAAAGAATAAGCAGATGCAGTGCCAATATTACCTTTATTACCAATATGGTTTATACCTCGGGTGGAATGGGTTTGCTATTACAGGACCTCAGGATGAAGCCAGGCTTTCCATCTGGGCAGAGACAACATAAGGCTACTGCAGCCTTCCCTATGGGGTCAGACCCCTCATGGAAGACAGAGAACATAGGAGAGCAGAATACAAGCTTGCTGTGGACAGCCAAATCCTAAGAGACGGAGGGGCATTGCTCTGCTTGGCCTAACTTAATGGGAAGAGGTCGATTGTCCTGGCTCAACCCAGCTGCTCATTAGACTGTTGTCTATGTTGTTTCTAGACTGTTTCCATGTTGTTGACACAGGAACATGTATGCTGAGGAAAGGCATCTTCTAGGTGGAATGCTTTACATGATCTTGTCCTAGAGGAGTCTCGCTCTCAGAAGCATCTAAGAAAGATGTCTTTTGGCAGGAACACTAGGGTAACTGAATACAAAAATGTATTTTAGGAAAATTAGAGGTCTGTGGAGGGTCAGGTAATTATCTTTTTGATTCATCAATACTTAACATTAGTGAAGAGCTGCGGAACAGAGTCAATCTTTCCAAGACATAGCCTTCTGTCATTACGAGCAGAAGCCTGTTCAAGCCTATTAGGCCCATGATGTCCAGAAGGCTCCCATCACCTGAAGGTGGGAGATAGCGCTGCAGATTGTTCTGGGTAACCGGTGTCGAAGACGTGTTGCACAATGAAGTCACCACTAAAGCACTGCTTAAATCCAGTCCTGGGCCTTCTTTTTCTGCTCTGTAGTCCAGAAACATCTCTTTAAATGCCAGAAAGTCCATAAACGTGAGCAGCATGTGGAATACGTCACCAGCCACTTCATCTTTATGATGCTTTAACGTTGCTGTGAAGCCGCCATGTCGAATTGGGGAATCTGCTCCAGCAGCTGTTCTTCAATGTATTTTTCCACCAAAGAAAGGTATTAATTGAAAATAGGTGTGTAGGTGAGTTTATTCTCTTCCGTGTCTTCAAACTCCTGGTAGTATTTGTCCATGAAATTTCTCTGCAGTACCTCACACTCGGTATCCACGAAAATGTCCTCTGTAGATCCAACCACAGCATCAAATTCGGCTGGATTTTTAAAAATTTGTTGAGACTTGTTTTGTGGTCTAACATATGGTCTATTCTAGAGAATGTTCCATGTGCTGCTGAGAAGAACATATATTCTGCAGCTGTTGAATGAAATGTTATATATATGTCTGTTAGGTCCAAAGGGCCTAGAGTAGAGATTAATTCTTATGTTTCCTGATTAATATTCTGTCTGGATGATCATCCTTGGCTGAAAGTGGTGTGTTAAAGTCCCTAACTATTATTGTGTTGTGGAGTCTGTTTTTCCCATTAGGTCTAATAGTAATTGCTTTATATAACTGGGTGCTCCAGAGTTGGGTGCATATATATTTAGAATTGTTATGTCCTCTTGTTGAACTGATCCCTTTATCATTATATAATGACCTTCCTTGCCTGTTTTTATTTCCTAGCTTTTATCTGATATAAGTATAGCTATTCCTGCTCTTTTTTGGTTTTCATTTGCATGAAATATCTTTTTTCATCCCTTCACTTTCATCGGTGCATGTCTTTATAGGTGAAGTGAGTTTCTTGTAGACAGAATATTGTTGGTTCTTGTTTTATAAACCATTGAGCCACTCTATATCTTTTAATTGGAGTATTTAATCCATTTGCATTTGGAGTTATTGTTTATATATAGGGACTCATTACTGCCATCTTGTTACTTTTTTTCTGGTTGTTTTGTTGATCCTTTTTTCCAATCTTACTGTCTTCCTTTGTGATTGAGTGGTTTTTTCTAGCAGTGTCCCAATGACTGTCCTCTACAACCTGAGCTTTCATTATCCACCCCATCTTGCTTTTCTTCTTGCCAGGAGTCCTGATGTTGGCTGACCCTTCTTCCTCTGGGGAGCTGGATCCTTGTACCACCATAGTCACGCAGCAGCAAGTCCCATCTGTCCTAGTCCTATTGTGTGGTTCTGATCAGGGTGAAGCTGCTGTTCTTCTCCTCTTGCTTGTCCAAGGCAAGGACTCCAACAGCATCTGAGCCACACAGGAGCTCAGAATCATAGCAATATTCATAATTGGGTTGGAATTAGTGCCCTGCAGGGATGCTGAGAATAGCTGGGATGGGCTGACAAAGATAGAAAC